GCATCCGTGTGATTTCCGGGAGCGGTTCCGGGAATTCCCTTCCTTGGGAGCTACGGGGAGGACGATCCCGTTGTACCGGCGAAGAACAAGACGGACCGAGGGGCCGTTGGAAGGGGGGAAAAAAAATGGGATTTGAGGGTTTTCGGAGCGAGGAGGGGAATTTCCACCCGGCTCCGTAACGCTTTTCCGTAGGGATAACGGAGGTGTCTCCACACGGAGTCTCCCGGCAGCCCCCCGGCCCGGCTGGAAATTTGGGTGGCACTCTCTTTTCAGAGCCACTGAGATCCAGGGGACAGGAGAAGCCCCCGAGTTCCTGGGATGGCCCCAGGATGCCCAGTTAGATCCCAGTTTTCCAACTGGGTGAGGAACGAGCACCCGGAGGCGATTCCCAGGCTCGTTGGCAATTAAAGAATTAACCGGGGCAAGACTTGGGCTGGTGGGAGGAGGGTTTTTTTGTGGCCTGGAGGTCCCCAAGCTCCCTGTGGGACGGGTTGGGATCTCTAGTTCAGGGCCAGCCAGAGCCCTGCAGGAATTGCAGGAATTGCAGGAATTGCATCCATTCGGTGTTCCCAAGGTGTCGTTTTTAATAGGAGTGATTTTCCCCTCTCTCCTTCCCCACCTGGAGGGATCAACCCTCAGCACCCCCCCCAGGGCCTCCATCCCCCTTCCCTCTCCCCTTTTCCGGTTCCTCTCTCACCTTAAAACGCGTTAAAAATAAAAATAATAAAATAATACGAAATCATCCACTTTCTGTTGCATCAAAAAGGCAACTTGGACTCGCAGCTCCGGGCCCACATCCGTGAAATCCGGGGGGGGGGGGGTTTAGCGCTTATCAAACCCCTCCCCGCAGCTTCAGGGCCTTTTTCGGGATGCTGTCCCCCATGGAATTCTCCTGGAGAGGCCGGCAGGACCTGGGAGTGACAGGGAAAGGTGTCACTTCCAGCTGGGGCTGGGCCCTCGTTGTTCCCCAGGGCTCAGCGCTGGGAACGGTCCCGTTTAATCTTCATGGATGGTCTGGGATCGAGGCGCCCTCAGGCAGAGGTGGCAGAGAGTTGGGTGGGATGTGGATCTGCTGGAGATCAGGATCGTCTGCAGAGGGAGCTGGACAGGCTGGATCCGTGGGATTGATGGGATTGATCCATGGGATCCATGGGAGTGAGGGGCAACAAGGCCACGTGCCGGGAATTGCTGGTGGGGCACCACATCCCCGTGGAATGTTCCGGGCCGGGGGAAGAGTGGCTGGAAAGATGGGAAAGACCTGTTAAATCTTCATGGATGGTCTGGGATCCAGGCACCCTCAGGCAGAGGTGGCAGC